GAGGGATAGAGTGAGAGAGAGAGAGAGAGAGAGAGAAAGGGAGAAAGCAAGCCGCCAGGTCTAGGACTCGAACCACCATCAACCATGTGGGAGTCCAGTGTCCCTAAACACCATGCCACCTACTGGCCCCCATGAATTTCTTTTTCCTTTATAAAGAAGTGAAAGGGCCAGCAGGTGGAAGGGTGGTTAAGGCTCTGGACTCCCACAAGGGTAACCACGGTTCGCGTCCCGGACCCAGTGGCTTAAACTCACGCCGGGCGCGTGTGCGTGCGTACCCAAGATCCCGAGAGGAGAATGGAGGAGAAGGGATTGCGGCGTGGCCATCCTCCCCCACGCTCCACCGGGGGTGGGAGGGGAGCAAGTTCTCACTTCCCCTCTCTCTCTCTCTGTCGCCTTGGGGAGCACACACGCCCGTCCTATGGCAAACAAACCAATAAAAACAGAAAGAAAATTAGGGCCAGCCTTGCAGTGCAGTGGTTAAACGCTCTACAGGGAAAGTGAGACCCCACAGGGCCAACAGTTCGAATCCCGGCCCCAGTAGCTGACAATGACACACCAGGTGTGCATAGGTCTCCCCACGATTCTGACAGGATGGAGAACCGAAAGGAAAAAAGATGTTACAGTATGACCGGGACCTGCTGGTGGTACTTTTTCTCTCTCACTCTTCTCTGCCTTTTTCTCATGCACACGAATGCACGTATAAAAAATAATTAAAAAAAAAAAAAGGAGAGGGCCAGCAGGTGGCTAAGGAGCTGAACTCCCACATGGCTGACCATGGTTCAAATCCTGGACCTGGAAGCTTGCCTTCTCAGTGTCCCTCTCTCTCTCTCTCTCTCTCTGTGTGTGTGTGTGTGTCTCTCTAGTGAGTACACATGCCCTGTAGGAAATTTAAAAATAATAATAATGGGGGCTGGCATGTGGCTTGGTGGTTAAGGCACTGGATTCCCACATGGCCGACCATGGTTCGAATCCTGGACCTGGCGAGTTGTTTTCTCACTCTGTCTCTCTTTCTCTCTCTTTCTCAGGCACAACTCATGTGAAAAATAAATAAATGAATTAAATAAATGGCTATATTTAATAATAATAATAAAAATAATAATGAAAAATAAAATAATTCTTTAAAAAAGAGAAACAAAATTACATTTTACAACTGCAGTGGTATAAAAATAAATATATTGGGATCAACAGTTAGCATAATGGCTATGTTGCTGGATTCCCATGTTGTCGATCACGGTTCAAGTCCCGGACCCGGCGGCTGGGCATGTGTGTGTGTATGTGTGTGCGTGCCCAAGATCCCGAGAGGAGAATGGAGGAGAAGGGATTGCGGCGTGGCCATCCCCCCTGGGGGGTGATTTCTCACTTTCTGTCTCTCTGTCTCTCTATGTCTTTCTGGCGAGAGCACGCGCCCTATAGCAAAAAACCTCTCCAAAAAATATATATATGCGTATTAATATTATATATGAATTTTGAATTTTTAAAAAATATTAATTTTTAAAAATTTGACCAGAGAGAGACACAGAAAAACATAAGGAAAGTGAGAAAGCAAGCCACCAGGTCTGGGACCTGAACTGTGGTCAGCCACATGGGAGTGCCCACACCCTAACCACCATGCCACTTGCCGGCTCCTCTCCTTCTTCTTCTGATTGTATTTTATTATCTTTTTTGAGAGATTTTTGTTATAGGGTGCTTGTGCTCACCAGAAACAGAGAGAGACAGAGAGACAGAAAGTGAGAAATCACCCCCCAGGAGGGATGGCCACGCCGCAGTCCCTTCTCCTCCATTCTCCTTTAGGGATTTTCGGCACGCATACACACACGTCTGGCGTTGCGTTTCAAGCCTCCAGGTCCGGGACTCGAACCGTGGTTAGCCTTGTGGGAGTCCAGCACCTTAACCACCACACCACTTGCTGGCCCAGGGATCATCCTGTTTCAGCTACCAACTGTTGTGCGTCCCCTCTCAGCTGTTACCAGAGATGTGACCACTTACACAATCCACCTTTAAACTCACGACGACATCCCGTGTAAGTGTCTCCTCTCAGGGGCCGGCAGGTGGCGTGGTGGTTAAGGACGCTCGACCCCCACATGGCTGACTGCAGTTC